CAATTATAGACACATTTAGCTTGCAACATTTGTGGCACACAAAGCGACAGAGATTTCGTGATAAAGTGCCAAAGTTAAAACATGACTCTGCGCAATTGCCACAACGATGACAATAGAAAAAGAGCTACCATATACATACATACATACATATACGAGTTGTATAACTTGAGATTTTTGCTGCTGTTAGCATAAAAAATCTTTGGCAAGTTGTAAAGATCTGAGCTGGCTTGCGAGTTGCAAATTGCAACACATTTGATTGGAAACGATGCATCAGCAAGCAGCCGCAGAGGCTGTTTTTTCTGGCTAAAAATCTCTATCTCACTCTTTCGTTACGTTTTGACAAAAAATCAAACGGAAATGCCACAAGCATACAATACAATACATGCATACATACACAAACACACATTCATGCATACACAAGTTTTGCGCTTTTGGCGCCAATTGCATTGAACGTGATCATGTTGACGATGTTGATGTTGTTTATCCGTAATTATGAAACAAAGCTTACCTGCCAGCACAGTAGAAACCAAATTCACAGTAAAATACACTGCGAGAAAAGCTCGTACGCAAATGAAGTGTATGTCCAGCGGCTAGTCGAATGTAAAGCTCGAAACGCCGGCTTTACAGCACTGTGATTGGCTGTTAGAAGTACTACTGCTGTTGTTGTTGTTGTTGTCATTACAGCTGCAACTGTTGCATGCGTGCGGTGCCGTTGTTATCTATTGTTGCTCTCTCTCCCTCTCTGCTGCTCTCTCAGCTTTGTAGATTGATGCTGCTGTGGGTTGAGCTTTGTTTACACTTTATTGTTGTTGTTGTTTTTGTTGTATTACAAAATAATTTGGCAAATTGTTATTGTTGGGCTGATTTTCTTTTTATTGCTATTGTTAAAACAAAAACCAACAAAAATTCTGCTCAATGAAGGAACAAATTCGAGCACCGCAGCACAAAAAAAAAAAAACAATTGTTGGAAACAATGGGAATAGGCACACAAAATAACCATAAAAAAATGCAAACAAAAACTAGCCGAAACACACGCAATAAAAAAGTTCGAGCAAGTAGAAGAAGAAGCAAAAAAAAATCGTCTTAATGAATGAATTCGTTGGTCTTTTACAGTTAGAAAGCAACTCTTACGACGAATTGGACGCTTTTTGCAGCGGCTCGACGACGCAGGCAGCCAGCCGTAACGAAAAAGCTAAGCACAACCGCGCAGGTTCAAACTTCGATTACAACTGATGCGGCGAATTGTCGCAGGCAGGCAGCGGCTGTCGGGCAGCGCGTCGCGACGAGCGACTAGCCGAGTGGAGAGCGCGCCAAAAACGAAGTGCACAGAGTTGCCAGTAATTACGACGCATCTTAACGGACTTAACGGCCGTTTGTTTTTCTTTTACTTATTGTTTGTTGTCGCTGTTGTTGTTGTTGTCGTTATAGCTTTCGTTTTCGTTGTTGCTGTTGTTGTGTTTGCCTTTTGGTGGCAAGTGTCGGGAGCCGAAATCTGTGCAACTCTGGCCGCCTGACGTGTCACTTGCCGTTATCAATTTGATGGGGCGTGCATGAAGAGCCTTCGAAACTTTCCTCACGTCGTCCTTGATACGATGAGCGAACGCCTTTGTACAATTGTGATTAGCCGTTGTGAACATGTCCAGCTGGCAGCCCTGAAGACGGGGTCTATTATTTAACACTATATCGATGGGTTAAATTACACGGCTCTCAATTATTGAGAATCATTTGCATTTTATCAAAAATGCATCGATCCAATGTCGCCAAATGCCTAATGTGCCATCAACTATGATAAATGTGTGCAGCTGTCTCTTCACGTTACCCTTTTGCACATTTAATGTGCATTTACCCAAACACTAAAGCTAATAACGCCAACAATAATATATATTAGTGCTCACTGCACTTTTTAATTTATACTCGGAATGTGATTTGCGGACAAGATCTGTGGGCGTCATGCATTTGTTTGCTTTGCAATTATTAATACACACACTTTGAACCCGCCCGGCATTCTGAGAAGATAGCCAACCAACTAAGTAACCAGTTCACCTTGAAACCAAAACACTTGTCGTCTGAAATGATCTGAGCTAAGCTGATATTTGGTATCATTTTAAGCTAATTACAAAAGTAAAACAAACAAGACGATAACAAACTTTCAAAGCACGCCCTGATTAATTGATTGACAAAGAGGTCGTAAAACGCAAACAATTAGTGAGCTCACAGGATGTGTTAGCTGGATACATTATATAATTGCCATCGCCTGGCAGAGTCATTAAAGACACGCCTTTCAATTAACAGAACTACTTAAATCTGATTAAACCAGTTCCATATGGGTGTAGCAATGACTCGTGCAAAGTGCAGAGCTATAAATCGTACAAATGATTCACATAAAAAGTCACAATTTGCAGCATTTGCTGCATCCACTATGTATGCCTAGCAGACAGAGTCATTTAAATTGCGCGCGCTAGCCGTATGAAAGGTGGCAATATTGCATAGGTGGCAGCCCTATTTTACAATCTCACAGCAGCTTTGAGAAATATCGATAACTCGATCAATTAATATGTGGTATTTCACACTGTGCTGCCGAGCAGCACATGTTTTAATTTAAAATTTCAACTCATTGAAATGGGCGGACATCATAAGAAGAATCTGCGTGCCGAAAAGGCCAAAGTGAAGTTGAAGGGCGCCAAGCTACCCAAGGGTCTTAATGTAACCAAGACGGACTTTAAGGTGCGCAAAATTGAAATACGCACGCAACTCAAAGAATCTGTTTTATCGGCGAATAACGGCCAGCGCCAGCTGAACTTGAAAGAGGCTCTGTCCCGACTGAAACATCATAATCTTAAGTTTCGCACGGATGCGCTGCGCAATGTGCGTGATGCCATCAAAGCTGGCCAGGCCGGTCACTTGATTGGTCATCTCAATGAGCTGCTGCAGGGCATCGCAGCTGGCGCCTTAGACATCGAACAGGAGGTGCGCCGCGAATCGTTCAAAACGCTCGATGTGGTGCTCGAGGGACTGCCCGTCGAGGCTGTTGTGCCCTTCTTCCACATCATCGCCGCCTACTTGCGCTGTGCCATGACGCATGTCCAGCCATCTATACAAGAGGACTCGCTACTGCTCTTGGATGTGCTGCTCCAGCGTGTTCCCTCGCGCCTGCTGGCCGAGCGCAGCGCAAGCACCATCATAAGTAACTTCATAGACATGATATCGCGCACACGCCACGACACTCAGCACACGAATCGATTGCTCACCGTGCGCCTGGGCCAAGGCCAGCTGACGACGATCAAATGGCGCACAAAAGTGTTGCTGCGCCTGCAACAAATTCTCAGTACGCTGCTTCAGCAGAACAGCCAGACCAACAGCAGAGACAGCACAGCGGGACGCGTCGTCCATTACGATGCCACGAAGGTGCAGTACTACAATGTGCTGCGCCCTCAACCACTGGACAGCCGGGACCTGTACAGCATTGTGGGTGAGCGATTACGCAAGGCTGAGAACGAGCAGCTGCTCGGCTATGTGGAACAGCTGATGCCGCTGCTCCACGACAATTGGATCGAGGTGCGCCCGCAACAACAGCAGCAGCAGCTCAACCAGCTGCTCAATGTCGACGCGGCAGCCAGTCTTCACGTCATCCTGGACATCATGGCGCAGCTGTGGCAGCTGGTGCTCCAGTACGAGGCCACACAGCAAGACAACACACACGAGCTGAGTGACTGGATGCGGCGGACCTATGCAGTCAGCTTCATGCGTATATTTCTCCAGGACAGCAACTATCCTTACCAGCAGATGCCGCTGGCAGCCAGCGCACAAAGCATGAGCAGCAAGAAGGCCAAGAAACTAAAGACACCAGCGGCTGGCGGAGAATTGTGCATTGCTCAGAACTTGACGCTGGTCCAGCTCGTCTGCCACTTCTGGCCGCAACCGGACGACGAGCAGAGCGAGGACTACGGCAGCCTGCTGTACTACATCCATCAATGCCTGCGCCGCTTGGACACACTGTCCACGGACGAGCAGCTGCGTCTAGTGGCGGCACTACGCGCCCTGCTGCTGGACAATGGCGCAGCACTGCTGCAGTTGCAAGCTCATCGGATGGGCACTGTGATGCAGACCTGCATTGACGCCTACGTGGATCAGCAATACACAACACGCGAGGGCATCAGTACCAAGGTACTGAATCTTTTGTGCCAGATCGTGCAGCGCGTTGACCTTTACCAGGGCTACGGTGCCGAGGAGCAGTTCGCCAAGTTTCTCAGCTATCTGCCACAGCTGCTGCTCAAGCCGAACGTGGCCGATGTCACTTTGACGGCGATGTCCACGCTCTGCCGCCAGCAAAACGTCGTCTTCATGACGGCGCTCGTGGAGAGCGCATCCGAGGTGTTCACGAACCTGGAGCGGCTGCTTGTGACGGGCGACTCCTGCTCGGAGGAGAGCCGCTTCGAGAACCAGAAGCGCATAGTGAATCTATTCTATCATGCGCGCAATTGCGGCGATGTCAACCAGCTACAGGCCACGCTCGACCAAGTTAAGAATTCATCTGAGAGCATCGCCAACTACTTGAAGTCCATTTTCAGCTATGAATAGACCCGACAAACTATCCTAGACTGAACCCACTGAACCCTTGATCAATCTATCGTCGGATGACTTAACGCTGACTGCTTCAGTTCAACATGTCTCTATAAGACTGTTTCCCTTAGGACGTTACATTACATTTAATATATGTTTATATAGATGTAGCTCAATAAGCTTGTATGTATAGTTCCTAGTTATATAATTTACAGCCCAGACTAAATATATATATACACATGAAGACAAAAGCTTTTTCTTGAGTTAGATTCAAACAGGTCGAATTATTCTTTAGCTATGTAGGGTACATGGGAACGAATTATCTGGGTATGTCTCTTTATATACATTCAAATGACTTATTCAGATACTTTTAATTGTCTTAATATTAGGATTTCGTGATTTCAAAATAATAGCTATATAATTAATATATAAAAGCAACAACTAATGATTAGTATATTCAGTTTGTGGACTTCTGTTTCTTTTGAGGCTTGGGCTTAAAGCGATCCAAAACGGAGCGCACGGCCTTTAGCTTCTTGACCTTTTCGCCCGTCGTCGCCTCGCCGCCCTCAGCATGGCTGGCAATTACGTCCTTTTTGGCCTTTCTCACCTCGGCAATGAACTCCTGTTGGGCCAAAAATAAAAATCATTTTAGTATGAAAACTTTAAGAAAGATCAGAAGTTGTCGCACCTTGCGCTGTTGATCCTTGACTATTTGCTTATTGCGTGCCGCCTTAGCGCTGCCGCCACGCCCCTTCATCTTGTGGCGCGGATTTATGTTGATGCGCGGCGGCTTCAGGTAGAAGAGCTGCCGCTTGGCATCGATTTTCTCCTGCAGAGTGGGCGCATCCACTCCGGTTATCTCGTGTGGATCCAGTGTAATAAGCTCTGGCGGTATCTTCTCTAGTAGCGCGTGCACCTCGTGCTCACGCCGCTGCTTGCTCGTTTCGAATGGATTGTCCTCGAGCGCATCGTAGTTGGGCTCGCCGCAGCCAGGCACCAGCAGTGACTGGAAGCCACTAGCCGTGGCCACGCCTAGTACGTCTTCGTACGGACAGAAGCGCATCGTATGCACGAAGGCGTCGCAGCGCTGGCGCAAGTAGGGCAGCATGTTCTTGCGGCCAGTGCCGCCGCCTAGGAGCACATCCGTGTAGGTCTCCAGGTAGGTGCCCTGCGAGAGCGCCAACATGCCGCGCTGCGATACCTCCAGCTCGTTGGCCGGCAGACGGAGGTTGAAGATGGCCAGCGGCTTGTCGCTCAGCTGCCTCAGGTCCCACACCTTGACCAGTCGGTCCAGGCCGGCGGTGACGAGGTGCATGCCCTTTGGGTCGACTGTTAGCGCTGTTATTGCTGTGGGATGGCAGAGCAATTTTGCAAGCGGTTCACGCACCTTGGGAGACCACATGGACACGACGCCCTTGCCGCCACCAATGCACAGGACGCCGTTGCCCGGATTGTGTCGCATATGCCGTATGTCGCCCAGGCCCGTATTGAAGTTGCCCACCAGCTCACCAATCGAAACGTCCAGCCAGGATGCATAGCCAGCACTGTTGCCGGCCGCTAGTAGGAAGTGATAGGGCAAAAAGTCCATTCGGTTCACACGCGCCAGTCGCTTGACGCAGTGCAGCTCGGTGCCTTTCTTGTCGTAGAAGTATACCCACTCTTTCTGAGCCACCGCATACATGGTGGGCACGTGGAGCCACTGCACATCGGCCACGGTCTCCATCACATTGAATTCACAGTGCAGCTTCTTGGTTACCCAGTCAAAGGCAGCCACATGGCCGCGTCGCCCGCCCAGCAGCAAATGCCGCCCGTTCTTTGTGTAGCGCATCGTGTAGGGCCCGAAGTCAAGCTTGAGGGAGAAATGCTTCGCTGCCGACTGCAGATCCACATTGGCCACTATCTCCGCTTGACGATATTCCGCTGTGGTCTCCTCCTCATCAGCCTCCAACTGTCCAGGTGTCTCCTGTAGCAAAAGTTCTGTACGTGCTGCCTGCTCTGTGGCATATTCCACGTAGATCTCCTTGCGCTTATGCTTCTCCTTGAAGTGCCGCGTCCTGACACCAGTGGAGTCGACGGCTTCGCCACGTGAATATTTTTCCAGGACTTCCTGAGGTATTTTTTGCTTCTTGGGCTTCTCAGTTGCTTCAAGGCGCTTACGCTTTAGTGCTTTTCTTTTCTCTTGCGACTGAATTTTGAGAAAGTCACCTGTAAAATTTCTTTGATGTCTGCGTTTTGGTTTCGATGGTTTCTCCTCGCCATCTTCGGTTTTAACTGCTGCTGCCCTCTCAAAATAGCGGGTTGCCGGCTTCTTGCGCCCCTTTGGCGCTGTCTTTGTCATCTTGCTTTAGATTCTCCCAATATTCTGCAATCAAAACACACTCTTTCAAAGTGCGCCGCAGACCGCAACGTGCTCGTGCTGTCGAATGGGTCCACTGTTGTTGCTATCATTATCGATATCGCAATCGTCTGCAAGTGAAGACTGACAACCTGTTTCAAAAAAAAGGTGGCCCTATCGAGCAGAGTAAAAGAAACAGATGCAATCGATAGGTTTTTAAATTTAAATTTTTATTATAATTGCAAAGTTAAATAAAAAATACACAAATTTAATAGATTTATAAGTACAGCTACAATTACTACAATACATTATTTTAAAAAAAAAACATAATAAAAGAACAAATAGCAATCGATAGTTTTCTAATTAAAAATGTTTATTATAATTGAACTGTTAAATAAACAATAAAAAAAATAAAGAATTAAGAGACGTTTGTAATTATTAATAGAATTAATATAATGAAAGCGCATCAAAATGCATTTTAACATTTCGATGAAAAATGCTTTCGAGGCGCCTTCCACTAAATATATATATATATATGTATATATACGTATGCATATATTTATTTATGTGAGCCGTTATAAATTATTTTGGTATTTTCGTTGAGAATTCGTTAAACGAATTGCATAATTGAGATTGAAGCCACATCAGTCTATAGAATTGTTCTACCAAAATACGCCTGAATAGAGATAAAACTTTGCAATGAATTTTTACGTTTTCACACCCTCAATAGACACGGCCATAGGGCAGAGTGGTTGGATAGTACGGCAATGGCATTAGAAACTTGCCGCCAAAGCGTGGGCCGGACTGGGCCGACTCGCTGCTGGAGGAGAACATGGAGGTGCATATTTCGGCGCGATGTAGCCGGCTGCTGCTGTTGTTCGACGTGCTGCCAGTAGCCGTGCCAGTGCCGGACAAGCCCATGCCCAGGCCCAGGGCCGAGCCACGCCCCTGCTGGCGTCGCCGAGTGCGGATCAGCGAGAAGATGGCCACAACCACGGCGATCAGAAAGATGGAGCCCAGTATGCAGAACGAGATGGCCAGCTTCGAAATGGACAGACAGAGCGTGCCCTCGCCCACCAGAGGACGCACGTGCGGCACATAGTCCTCCACTGCAAAGACATTTCTCATCAGCTTCAATCAGGCTCGATTCGGATGGCACTCACCACTCATGTTGTAGCGACGGTCGTAGCGCAGGCGATCCACTTCGATCTGCGGCGCAGTCACGGCCAACGAGTTGAACACCTCGATGCGCGCCAGGTGCTGATCCCCGTTCAGCTGCAGTTGCTGCTCGGCGAGGCGACAATTCAGCTGTGGAAAGATTTCATTTCACTTGACGTGGACATTATTTTTGGGCAATTGCTGCTGCTGCTGCTGCTGCTGCTGCTGCTTATGCTGCTGCTGGTGCTTGGTGCTAGCTGCTGTTGAGTCCTACTGCGTGCTGCAGTTGAGTGCATTTCGGTGCAATAACCACATTAATTACTGGCGCCTTACACACATTAAGTATACGCTCCGCTGCACACACAGCCTAGCAAGACACCAGCCAAATCGCGAGCAGCAGCAGCAGCAGCAGCAACGGCAACCGCAACACTTTCGTTTTCATTGCAATTAATTCAAATGCATTTGGAATGCCTTGTTTGCTGCCTTAGCTAATTTTGCATAGCTACACAAATATCTTTATAGATTGTGCGGACGGATGTACATACATACGTGCATATGCATATATTGTCTGTGCTTTACTCACGTTTGGGCACTTCCCTCTGCAGAGCTGTACGCCGCAGCTCACGTGCAGTCGCTCGCGATCAGGAAACTTGAAGGCGGCGAATGTGGCCATAAACGTGCGCTCGACCAGATCTTCCTCATGCTGCTTGGACCACCCTTCCTCGGCGGGCTTCAAGCTCGTATGCAATGCCGGCATTACCTAAACGAATATAAAAATAATGAATACATATACATATTTAGTAAAAAAAGTAGTAGGATATACATATGTATATGTATATAGTGTAGTATTTTACAAAAATATTTGTGATTATTGATTTGCTATAACAGGCTTACTTTGTAGGAACAGTTTATACAAATTCATATATAAAAGGCATTTTGTTGCTTTGTTTTTTGTTTATGTCTTGTTGAAATTAGCAAATGCATTGAGTACATATTAGAGTACATTATTATAAATCAACTTTAAAGTGACCACAAAAAAAGAAGCGAAAATGCAATTGAGATTGCTGTAAACAATAACTTTATAATGTTGATCCCTCAATTTGCTCATAGCTCAACAACAATTTCGGAGTCACGCCCACTAAACTCAAAAACCGCTTTAGCCTAAAGTTAAAGTTGAAGCCGCATTACTTTGCGCTGCTCGCTGAGCTAAGACAAGTCTTTACGGCTTGTCAAAGGGTCTTAGAGGCGAGCATGAGGTAGTCGGGCGGACTTGCATGTACTAAGAATAAATAGCATTTACCGTTAGCCTCAATGTGAATTTAGATGATTCGAAAATAGTCGAAACTAAAGCTGAGCTAACGGTCTGGATTTTAATAATTTGAATTTAAATTACATGAAAATTTGTTCGCATTAGACCAGACTGCGATGTTAATGCCGCTGACAATGGGTTGAGTTCAAAGAAAACGCATCGCGCAGAATTTTATTTGGGTGCGTTGACCCGGCGTATTAGCCGGCTTACTTGTGCTTAGCTGTGCTATATACCATGAGGTAACTGCTGAAATTGAAAGTATCATCAGGGAATTAGAAGTAAGCGCTTAGATAATGCATAACTGTCGACAAACCGAACCAGTTCTGATTGACCTCGGTTCAAGTGCGAGCTCTGTTTATGGCCGGCTCTTATACAATTGTTGTCTTGTCGCTGCCGACACGAACACACATCACTGGCAATGGCAGTGACACCTCAATCCCTCTCCCTCACTCTCCCTCTCTCTTTCTCTGAGACGTGCATTATTTGGCCACTTCCGTTGCGAGCAACGGTAACAAAAGCCATAAGCCAAGTTCACGGACAACAACAATGCTCTACAGCTCGCTGTGTATGTGTGTGTGTTTATTAGCTAGCCATATTGCAGCATATATGCACACCTGCATGTGTCTGTGTATCGATGTGTGTCTGAAATTACAGACTCATGTGATTTACGCCATTGCCATTGTTGTTGCACTGCCACTTGTACTTGCAGCACACACACACACACACACACATAGAGACGCCGCTATCGCATTTCAATTTACATACCTCAAGCACGTGTGCTCCCTCGTGCGTGTGTCTGTCTATGAGAGAAACTTGAAACAATTACAACAATAAGCAAACAAATATAAACTCTGTTTGCAACGGAAGTTCAAATGAGTTCAAACATGAATCTATGTATTAAGCGCGCTGCAGGACATAATATGTCCGCATATTCAAATGTCTTGTATAAATCACAAGTACGTACTTATGTCCATACATACATACGTATACATATATTTAATGAATGAAACAACAACAGCAGATGCTGCTCAGGGAAGCATAATCATAAATATAAGAGCTTGAATGGCTGTTCGATATTATCGCCTATTAGGCTGTCTTATAATCAACAATAGAAGAGCTTACAGCATGGCCGCATATTCAAATTTGTTATGTCATCACTAAGCCAACAACAACAACAAGAACAACTGTTTGCAGTGCTAGCGTTGCCAGCCTAATCAGAAATTGCTTTTCAATATGTTCGCCTATTTGGGCGAACAAAGCTGCTCGCAGGACTGGCGCTGTTAGTCGTAACAGAAATATAAGAGCTTAAAATGCGCATAATTTCGATGTCTTGTATTGCCATTGCTGTCGCCAATGTGAATGCGTGAATGAGACCAAGACAGCAGTAATAGCATCAACCTCAGGACTGGCGCGTGCCTCAATCACTTTTCAATAAGTTTGCATATTTTTGGCGTCTTATACACAAAAGAAGAGATTTAATGAGCGCATATTCAGATGTCTTATATTATCATTGCAATCGTTATTATCAGTGCTAAGCAGTTTGCTCGCATATTTCTGATGTCAAAATATCGAAAGCTAATTGGATACAATTCTATAATACACAAATTTAGAAGAATATTTCAATTCTTGTACCGTTATCTATACCACCAGAAATTCAATGGAATTTATGTGTTGCGCCAGTGCTCGATTCAATAAGAAATTTAATAGTGAATAATTGCAAATTGATACTTAGTGGCCTTTGCTACTGTTGTTTATCAGGAATACTCAAGTGTGTTGTTATATGCATATGGGAAGTACAGCTTATTACAGTTGTTCTAATAATACTAAATCATGACAGTGAAATAGAGTAAAAGGAAAATATACAAAATGTGTCTATTCAATAACAAAGAACACTTTCAGGCCAAACGCATTCTTGCTCTAAGTTCACATACACACATACGCAAACACACACACACACAATGCATATTTATTATGTAGGTCAGATTCTGATCAGAAACTGTTCTATTTCACTTTTTAGCGGAGCTCTGCGCGACCTAGAAGACATTTGTGAATCAAATAAATAATCCAAGACAGAGCTGGGCGGGTGCATAAATTATTTGCACACACAGACACACACACACATGCGCGCGTAATATGAATACAAGAAGATGAAGAAGAAGAAAAGCAACTAAATGTGAAAGAAAATGAAAATCTGCTAAAACGGAAGACAACGAACTTATACCACTAAGCGGGGCAGGTGGGGCAGGGCCGGCAGGTGGGGGACTGATGTTTTTTAGCATTGTGATGGAACAATAAAACAAACATAAAATGCAAATGTTTTTTTGTTGTTGTTGTTTTTTGTCTGCTGGCTTTGCCCCTGTCCGTTAAAATAAAATAAAAATAAAAATTAAGCCGTGAGATTTTTCTTGCCAGCACCTCACATAATGGCCAACAGCAGCAGCAGCAGCAGCAGCAGTGGTGGCAGTGGTGGCACTGGCAGAAGATTTGTTTGACCCATTTAATGGCATGACATGTGCACAAAGCTGCGACGACGCCAGCGATCAAATGCAAATGCCTTTAGCTTTGGCATTGCTATTGCTATTGCTATTGCTATTGCTAGTGCCGCGGCTCGGCTACTGCCCAGGCAGAAGGCATGTCAAGATAGATATGTATGTGTGCATGCGCGTATGTATATACATACAATCCACAACTGTTGGCTAATTGTTGTGACCTCCTAATTTACTCAAGAAGAACTGAAGAACTGTTTCGTGGGCAGAGCAGCAGCTGCTTGCTTAATGGCCGCTAAGCTGCTTGGCTGGGCAAGCGCGAACGCCAACTGTTCTAACGATGCGCGCGTAATTATGTCTAACAGTTTACATTTTTGACTAGCTGCTGCCGACGTCGCTGCTGACGTCGGTGTGCTGTAATAACCGTTACATTTAATGATGCACGCCACCATAGAAGCCAATTGCACAACATTGGAGCTGGAGCTGGCGATTTCTGTGGCAGTGGCGACGCTAATCTGATCAGAAATATCAAAGCTCGAATCACTTTCGCAGAAATGAAAGTTAGCCAATCAAATCGATGGGCAGCAGAAATTAATCGCATACACGAAAATAGACAACACCAGCAGCAGCAGCAGCCGCAGCCGCGGCAATGAAAGCATTTAAAATTATGATTAATTAATTAATTGTCATCTCACCTGTTCGTCGATGGGACAGCCGCGGGCGTCGAGCAGCTGCTGCGTCGACTCACCCAGGCCATCCAGAGCAGCGCAGTCGACGACGCGCACTCCAATCGTGCCCGGCACAATCGCGCGCACGGTCAGGGTGGTGGCCATGCCCACCTCCACGGAGCCCGAGCCATTGGGACCGCCCAGCTCCAGCCAGATGCGCACGCGCGGCGTGTCCATGAGATGCGTCTGTGCTGCGGCCGCCGATGCAGCTGCGGCCAGGGCGCGCATGCGCGCATTGCTGCAAGAGAGTGGAAGAGTAGAAGAGTAGAAGAAGGGGATGAGCAGTTGGGAAATTGGTTTCCAATTACCGATCTCGGCCGTGCAGCGGCAGCGGCATGCCCATCGCCTTCGCCGGCAGCTGGCAGCGCACGGTGCGCAGGATGTCCGTGCTCTGGCGTAGCTTCTGCTCCGTCTGGAGCATGATCCGCACGGTGTACTCCATGCCGCCGTCGGGCAGCGGCTCGGCGCGCACACCACAGCCCGAGGTGGGCAGCCGCAGCGCGATGTGCGTAGCGTCCTGACCGCGCGACCGACACTCCAGCGGGAAGTCCTTGGCGTAGAGCAGGCCACGGAACGCCCGGCTTAGTGTGAGCTGCATCTCCAGCAGCTCACGCGTGCAATTCACCTGCAATGTCTGGATTCGCATAGAGGTGGGGGTGGAGGAAGAGGCGGAGGGGGCGGGGGCGGTGGCTGAGGCGGTGGCGGTAGCGGCGTCAGCTGAAGTGGCGACTGCTGCAGCGACAGGTGTTGCGACTGCCAAGAGAAACACGCCCAGTGCAATTGCCGTTCTGGTTGCCCAGCCAGCATGACACACTAAATGCACTTGTCGATGCATCTGCCAGATAAGAGAGGAAAGCAACTGTGGCTTCAGTTGTGGCTTCAGCTGCGGCTGCGGCTGGGGCTGGGGCTGGGGCTGGGGCTGTGGCTCTGGTTGTAGCTGGCGACGCCGCAAGAACATGTTTCCGATTTTCCAATTTCCCGTTGCGCCCGACGCGGGCAACTGCAACCGCAAATGATGCCACTTGGTCGCGTTTGCCGTTTGCCGTTTGCCGTTGGCCAAACACACMACACCTGTAGTTGCACCTGCCGGTTGATAGTTGATAGTTGTCGACTGCTGGCTGCTTGCAGCTAGTCGCCTCTTCTTCTAATTGGCCCCGTCGCGAGAATCGAGTCCACCGACCTGGCGATCAGGCCTAAGCAACTGAAAATGAAAATTCCTATGCATTACTAAGACGGCAGACGGCAGCAAATTAAGGCCAACACACAAACACACACACACACACACGCGCGCGCGATGCGATGCGAGTGCAGAGAGATGTTCAACTGCGGCCAATTGGCCAATTCGTAAGTGGGTCAAGTTTGCATTCAAATCAAATCAAATCAAATCAAAACTAAACAAAACAACACAAAGCAAATCAAATAATATGTCCAGCGATTGCAGCAGCCACTAAATAAATACGTTAAAATAAGCAAATAAAAACTTAAATCAACATCAACATCAAACTTTGCGTAATCCTATTTGATTTCAGTTGTTCATCTTACTCTTTATTGCCATAGTTGTTGTTGTTGTTGCTCTTGCTTTGTTTACTTATTTATTTGCTGTGCCATATTATGTTGCCCCTGTTGCTGCTGCTTGTAATCTTCACAATTAACTAGCCAAGTTTGAAAGTAAAATACAAAAATGCATATTTTTGGTAAAAGGTCTGCAAGCCCTTCGCTTCACCTTGACCAACACAGTAAGCACGGCACAAAGAAACAAATGTCAAATATGCTTTAGGCATATCCTTTTTGTTGTCACTTTACACTTTTACCACAAAAATTTCCAAATATTTTTATGAAATGTGTTTGATGAAAGCATTTAAAGCAAATTTTCACAGCAAACATCAAAATTAATAGAAATATACATTTATGTCAAAATTTTATAATGCTTACACAATATCGCGCCAATTACAAAATTTCTGTATGAGCACTGCACAAAAACCGCAAGTTTAAAAAAAATTAAAAAAATTTTTTGCTAACGGTAAACAACGCATGCGCGCGCTTCACACGACGAAAACAAAAACAAAACAAAATAAACGGCTGGCAGCGGCAGCAACTACTAAGCTCTGACCGAAACGCACGCTACCAAGTGTGCAAATCAAATAAGCCCCGAGCGCCAACGAAATGCAGCATGTATGTGAAATTGGGAGGCCAAGAAGTTGGCTAACCGCAAAGTGATGATAAAGCTGTGAAGAAGAAGAAGCGGTCGTAACCGTCGTCGCTACGCAAGCGCAGTTATTAAGGCGCCAAACAGGCATATCGATTGTTAAATGCTCGAAGCTGCCAACTCGTGAAAGTGAAATTTGAGGAAGTTGAAAATATATCGATATAGTTGGCGTCTACGAAAAATATTTCAGATTTGCTTAGTGCAGTTGTAATATATTTATGTAACAGTTAAAATGTGGACAATTTAAAAGTTATAATAGAAATGTTTTCTTTTAGTTCTATTGCTTCTTGTACTAATCAAACTGAACCAGTATTTACTGTTATACGATAGCAGCTACCAAGTATCGCATACACACTAATCTGCCGGCCTCCACAACACATCGACAGATGTCACACCAGCATTTTTTCATCACTAATCACTAATGCCACACGGTAAATACAAGCGAGCGGCTAAATAAGTTAATAGAGAGCAAAAAAAAAAAGAAGTAAATTGTCAAAATAAAAAGTTGTAATCAGAGTCCGATGAACCTAAACATCGATATGTCAGAAATTATTGAATTCGTAATGCCAATAAAATCTGAGTACTCTGAACAGAATGACGGCGGGGGCTGCGACGACGACGATGCTGATGCCGACGGCAATCACTATGTGGTTTTGGATTCCGTGGATGTGGGAAGAGATTTCAAAAATGAGGAATTCCTTTTGGTCAATGATGACGGTACGGGGGGCCAATTGCTACTTGACAATGCGCACTTGCATCAACAGCTGGTCAATTGTGCGGATCTCTTGCGTGAGCCAAGAGATGGTCAATTCGACGATGTACAGTATATGGGGGAGGAGCAATTGCCAGAGGATGTGGACGATCTGGTCGAAGAGGAGGAGGAGGAAGACGATGGGCAACTGCCCGTGGAGGAGCAGTACGAACAGTATGAACAATATGAGGACGACGTGCACATACAGGATCAGCAGAGCTTTGGGTGGAACTACGTGCAGTCAACCTCACCCCTATCAGAATCTGTGGCAATAAAGCTGGAGTCGATGACGACGACGACGACGAATACAACGACGACGAAGTCCACCACAACAACGACAACGGCACTGTCCCCAGCTCCAAGTCGGAATAAATCAAAGTCAAGTCCACATAGCTCCGCACGCAGTCATGTTGACCATGTGGCTATCGATGCCTCCTTCGAGGAGATAGCGCATGTAGCCGATGTACAGGAAGTCGAGGAGCCTGCACCACTGGCAAAGCCTAGTGAAAAGATGCTCGATCAGTTCAAGGGACCCCGACGGTATATGCTGTTCGACGAGCTTATTGCCACCATCGTGGACTTCGACGAGGATGGCACGCCCATTGTGGAGTTCTCGATGATTGGCAGCGTGCACGACGAGAAGCTGCCGGTGGAGTGCGGCATCTGTCCCGACGTCATGCACAAATCTAAGCTGTCCAAGCATCAGAAGACGCACATGGTGCCCGGTACCAATCGCTACGCCTGCATCTACTGTACCGAGACCTATCGCGATTGTAAGTACTTGGCTGGCCATGCCCGACGCCACATGGGCATCCGGCCGTACGTGTGCGAGCCCTGCAAGCTTTATTTCTCCACTAAGCAGGATCTGCATGTGCACAACCAGCGGCGGCATCTCAAGAAGGAGCACATCTGCGAGATGTGCGGCAAGACCTTCGCCCAGAACACCCAGCTGAAGCGGCACCGAGAGGCGACGCACGAGAAGAAGCGACGGTTCCAGTGCGAGCACTGCCAGAAGGCTTACTATAAGAACTTCTCGCTGCAAGAGCACATACGCAACGTGCACATGGGCAAGCGGCGGATGCTCAAGTGCCCCTTCTGCGGCATGCAGTGCCGGGATGCGCACAAGATGGCGCGGCATCGCAAGGAGATGCACCTGAACCAAGACACGTACGTGTGTCATCTGTGCCAGGAGGAGTTCACCGACATCAACTACTTCGACGCGCATAAGCGCTCTATACAGTGCCGTAGCAATACCCGTCGACTCGTCAACCAGGCCCAGGGTCGAACCTCCAACGAAGACGGCGACACCATGGACGAATGCAATGAGCTGGCGGGCATGCTGGAGGAGGAATATGACGAGGATGCCGGTCTGCTCGTTGAGTCCACTGAGGCGAGCGGCGTGGATGGCGTCGACGGCATCATTGGCGGCGCAGTGGCCGATGAAGATCAGCCACGGGATGACGAAACCATTTACGAAACGGTTAACGGCAATTTCCTGCACGGCGAGGTGGAGGACCAACAGCCATATGCGCAGCAGTATGATCCAAGCAGCTACGACGATGATGGCTTACTGGTCGAGCAGGTGGCCGACGATGAAGAAGATCACTCTGAGGAGATTCTCAACGATGACGAGGAGTACTTGGATCCAGCCCTCGACCATCAGACGCAGCAGCAGCACCAGCAACAGGCTGGTCACGAGTACAACGAGGACGAGTTAATTTATGAAATCACGTTGGAGACTGAGGACAACTGAGCTAACTTGAGCTTGCCAGCCAGTCAGGCGGCCAGACCCGTTCACCTCTCTCCGCGCCCTCCGCAGCGGGCCAGATCCTTGGGAAACCACATTGTAAATATAGATAAAAATAGACACATGCATACGTACATGTGCGTGTAAGTGTGTTCGTGTGTGTGTACTTTTTACAATTCCACAACTATGATCGTGTATTATGATCCAATAAAGCGCAATTGATTGCTAGTTTTTTCAAATTTTCTAACATATTTTCAGTGGGGATATGAACGAAAGACAATTAGCAAAGACAAATGCAACCCAGGGCACGCAGAGGTGTATTTATTGCAGACATCAAATTTCAGGCTCGATTGTGATTGATAGTCGATTGTCGTAGCAGTTAGTGGTGATCCGGATAATTGTCATATTTGCTTCAGATTAATTATTTCAAATAAATACGTAATATGCATATATATATATATGTATGTATATGTACGTACGTACAGGCAGTATGTAATTCATGGGGATGACATCAACATTCATTAAAATATGGTATTTGGGCGTGCTCGAGTGAGCGAGACAGCATGTGTACACAACTGTTCCCATTCTAATTGGTATCGAACGAATGGTCACCCTAATTGCAGCAACTGGCATCGAACGCACGTACGCGCTGAGCGCACACAAACAAACTTTGGTTCAATTTGTGCAATTTTCATGAACATTTCTTGCGTAAACTTTTCTCTCATATCAAAATGCTTAGCCTTGGGAAACAAATTGTTGGAAATAACAGTCACAATGGCGTTTCATGGCAACCATATCGATCAAGCCCTCATCATAGCAGCCGGCCCAGGCAACAATTCAGGTTTCAAAACACTCGCTTGAAATTCAATTGAAATTTGGTTTTCCAACAGCAGCAGCAGTTAACTGCCGAAATTCGTTTGCTCCATACACACGTGCAAGTAAATATTCATATATATCTCGAACATGGATAACGAAGAGGATGTCGAGCAGGAAAACGCAAACACTGATGCAGATGCCGATGCGGATGTCGAAGACGAGCCGGAGTCGGAGCCGGAAGTTGCTGAGCCCGTTGAGGTTGACAGCTGGGAATCCTTTCAGGCCCACATCGACTCGCTTGTGGTCAATCAGAAGTGCGACAAGCCGATCCGCATACTAGATGAGCGTAGGCAAAATATTGTGCAGCGCGTCCGCCAGGTCCAGCGGGATACGCCAAAAGGATTCTCAGAGCGCGCCATGAGCCAGATGAACAAAATCGATCAACAGCTAAAGCTGTCGAGCACCCGCCTGGGCCAGCTGGTGCGCTTTGGAAACGAGCTGGTGACTAATATCCGTGTGGCGAACGAAAGACGCGAGCTGAATCGTCGCATATACGAGGCCTCGCAGCAGAAGGATATGAAGAGGATGTTGGATAGCGAGAACATCGAGGCAATGGCCAAGTTTGAAAATATCAAAGCGCGCTGGAGCGAGCTGAACGAGATCAATGAGCCGATGCTGCTCTGGGACAAGATCGAGGAGCAAAAAAAGCGCATCGGCGCTATAATGGACCGCAAGGACCAGATGATTGCAGCCTGCCAGCAAGAGATCGATCGCATGAACACCAAATACGAGTTCGACAGACAACGCCAGGCGGCGGACCTCTGCTGCCTGGTCGAGCGCATCGACAACCAGGTGGAGACACTGAAGGAGTCATATAAACATCATTTGGAACTGTTGCGCAACACCGTCGAGGACGAGCGTCACGCCTTTTCGCTGATGGCCGACGAGAAGTGGCACAACTTCTTCAACGCTCTGAACACCAACTTCGAGGAGAAGTCGAAGCTGGTGCGCGTGCGCGAGCAGTTCTACACGCTGCAGCTGCAACTGCTGCAGGACTCGCAGGACGAGCTCACCAAGCAGACGCGCGTGCGCCTTGAGAAGGAGTGCGAACGCCTCGAGCTGGAGCTGCGACGCACGCGCGACAACGTGCTAATGAATTCCGAGAAACTGGACTACAACTACCAGGTGTTGCAGCGGCGCAACGACGAGAACACAATCATCACGAATCAGCAGAAGCGTCGTGTGGCGCGCCTTTACGAGGCGGTGGCCCGCACCAGGCGCAACTACAAGCAGATCTACCACAGCGGTCGGCGCACCATCATGAAGCTGACCACTGAGATCCAGCAGCTGCACGGCAGCATCAGCGATATGGAAGCGAAGGCCATGCACACACGCAACATTAACCGGGAGAAGTTCAATCGCGTGTGGAACATCAACTACGATGAGATCACCGGGCTGTTGACGCGCATCTTTGAGATCGACCGCATACTGCACGAGCAGCAGCTGGTGATGCCGTGGAAGCGGCCCAACATCTACATCGACAACATTAACAAGCCGATCGAGAAGCGCGCTTTCAACGCCATGGATCGCATCGAGCGCCGCTTTGGCAAGCTGCCCAAGCAGTACGGCGGCTCTGGCTATGATACCGGCGACGGCGATGGGAAGCGTCGCGGCCCCATGAAGGAGCTACCGCCCGAGTCAGCGCGTCTCATGCGCAACATACTGCGCAAGCTGGCCGATCGCGGCGGATTCCTGATCGAGGAGCGCTTGCTAAAGATACTCAAGCCCTATTCGGAGAGGGAGCAGACAATGGTGCGGGTCGACAACATCTTCGCAGCGCTGCGTATTCGCAACTTGGACCACGTTCTAGAGCTGACCAAGGTCTTTGAGCCATACACGTACTGCCCCACCTGCCAGCCGGGGGGTCTTAGCCCGACGAAGTGTGCAGAGGTGTTTCTGAAGGATCAGAAGGAGTCGCGCTCGCTCAAGCTGGGCGACATCAACCTCCCGGATCAGGCTCTGCTGAAGGGCAGACACGATAACAAGTCATTTCTAGTCCGTGGCCGTAGCAACAGGGACAAATGCACAAACCATTACCTTGTCATGGAGCCAGCCCTTGTGCTGCACGCCATGAATCTGTACACTAAGCAGAAGCACAAACAGATCTATGGCAGCTCCTCGGAGAGCAGTCTGGAGACGGAGTTGATTCGGTTCAGTGACAAGGAAATCCAAATCTTTTGGCGACAGTTCACCAACATCTTTCCCGACTCAAAGACCCATCTCTGGAAGACACTGGAGCACGGACTCAATCACTATGTCGAGGTGCTCAAGATGCGCGTCCAGTACGATGCCGAGGTGGTCTTCCTGCGTCGCCAGAATCGCGAGTTGCGCCATCTGCTACAGAAGTTCAAAGTCTAGCCGCTTCCACTTCCTTACCATATGCATATGTCGACTATGTATTAATATGATTTAACTTTTTGCCAGAGCGCCATAAAATTCAGTTGTATGAAAAATCCAAATCTATCCTTATTCCATAATTTTTTGCCAATTATGCCAACAACAATGTATCCTTCTCCAAATGGATCTGATGCAAAATTTCCCATTTTATGTGATGCAGACATATGTATTCCTTAATTGCTCTGTATTGCTGTTTGTGCATTCATACATATGTATGTATGTATGTGTGAATTGACAGCTGTTCTCTAATATGCATGTATGCAACTGTTCTCTCAAATGTCTGTACATACATGCGTATGGATACAACTGTTCTCAGAAATATGTACATGTATGCAAACATATGTATGTATGCCCATTTACGAAATCAATTCATAGTACGGTGGACTCTAGTTATTTCAAACCTTCGATATTTCGAACCTCTCATTACGAGTCCCCTACGAATTCTCTTTATTTTTCGAATTATTCCCATACATTTTTATGCACTCAGTAGCTCGAGCTAAAAAATCATTGCTAAAACGTGGTAATTCGTGCTCATATGGTCAAACACTGACAATTCAAAGCGAAGTTTCTTGGCTTAAGTAAGTTTCTTGTTAGTAAGAACTTTGAATTTAAATTTTGGACTCCCCTGTGTCCAAAGGCATGGGCTTTTATCTACACAACGAAACTGATAAAACAGCCCAGGCACTTTAAGTCCTTAAAAAATTATTGAAAAGTCTGGGCAGCAGCAATAAATATGCATCGAAACAAATGAGTTCTTTTCAAAGATTCATTATTTTGAAAATAAGTACATTACGAATATGTAGAGTACCAGCAGTTATATAAAAACCCTTAATGATTCGAAGTTTAATTTATTTTCTCTCAAAAACTTCAAACCAAAAAACGAGAGTCAACTGTATTAGCATTAGTTCTATGGGCTCATTGACAAAGCAATTAGCAGATAGTTAAGTGGCCATCTCTTTCGATCGCAGTAGGGCTTATGGGCTGTCATGCTTATGAAGAGCATAGATTTGAATACGGAAGCCGAGTAAAACAAAAGTGCTTAAGATTATGCTAGGTGCTCGATCGAAACTAATGAAAGAGAGAGAGAGAGAAAGCGAGGACGATCTTTCTATAAATGCTTCAATTGTATTGCTAGCTCGCTTTAGATCGTGCTGCCTGTCGGCCCATACGCAGCTGCATGGCAAGCGGCCCCAATTGTGCTTGGGGTTTGGATGAACTACTTCAATGTCACCTTTACTCCACCTATTACACTGTGCAACATAGAAAACCTGATATGATTCAATTGAATATACAAACGTTTAGGCTAGCTTAACTCTTGTTGTTGACGCGATATGACTAGATCTCGGGAAAATCATTCTTTCTCTTTCATTTCAGGCTTGCGTGAAGATCAACGATCAATATTTTTGAAAATCATATAAAATTCTAATTGAATACTCAATTGACCATGCCCTTAAAGTAGCTTAAGGCCAGTTTTGACTCGATATACCTAGAATCTAAGTAACTTCTATTTCATTTCTTTTATTAATTTATTTAATTTTTTTAAAGTATATAATGTTTGAATGCACTCTTTTTTCTAAATTTTACACTGACTTCTATGACCGTACTCTTCAAATATTGCATTCATACTTAATAAAATAAAGTTTAAAATTTTGTACTAGTTTTACGCTTGTATTGTATTGTATTGTATGTACATACATACATACATATGTATGTACATATGAAGATCGAAGATTTGATCTACTTTGCTTAGGCCTTAAGCCGCCCTTACTTATTTTCCAATTGATTATAGAAAATCGAGAATTGCATTTTTAATTCCAATTATGTAAAAGACCATAAAAACTTGATCAACTCATTTAGCCTAATGTCGAGGTCAACAAATACCTTCCGATCGCAATGTACAAACTATTGATACAAGACCATGACTAATTGCCTAATAACTACACGCACACATTTGTGTAGCGCTGGTATGTATGTACATATGTACATACATACGTATTACGTATGTATTTACATACACTTGTATGTCGATATTATCCATGTTCAAAGTTCTGTTGCACAGTGTTATCTGCGACCGTGAGCCGTGCACATGTCGATAAAGTTCTGTTTAGCTGGAGGAGCTGGGGCGGGTGCGGCGGGGCAGCCGTCAACTGAAGACCTGTATTACCAATATTATTTATATGTACAAATACAGTGTATGTATTCGCGCAGTACTTCATGAGGGCGTATACTGAGTGGCGGCCCGGTACGACTGCTCGGCCCAGGTAGTCCGGAGTGGTTCAAAGTGCGCGGCAACGAGCAAATGTTTAAAGTGCAAACGGAATCAAACTACAACAGTTGCATTTAGCGTCCGGCTCTTTGTTGTTGTTGTTTGGGTTCTTGTTTTTGCTTTATTGCTTCGCTGGGAGCACTGCGATACAAACTAAATAATAATATAATAGAAAAAGAACCGGCAACCGGAGCCGACACGACGCTTGTGCCCAGGTACAAGCGGCAACAGGTTGTACTTTGCTGTTGTTGCCTCTGCATTTATTGTAGTCGAACCAGTAAAACGTAATCTTATCGGGCCTGAAGACATAACGTAATAGGAAGCGACGCTCAACGCTCGACGCTCGACGGATCTTGGAGCTTGGTGGCCAAGCCACTTGGTAAACATGCGACAGCCCGAGCAGCAGCTGAACCGTGAGCTGGAGCCAGATGACAGCTACGACTCCTGCCTGACCGAAGATGTTCAGCTGTTCGGGCAACTGGATGACCTGGATGCCAGCCGCGAGCTGCTGCTGCCCTCTGCAGCCGAGCTGGACCTGCTGCAGCTGGTTAGTGGAACTAACGATGCTGCAGTGCAACCGGCTCTCACACACGGCGACTCTTTGCAGCCGCCGCCACAGCCGATTAAGCCAAAGTCGAAGCGCGCCACGCCCACCAAGCGACAAGCGAACAACATTTGTGATCTGTGCGGGCGCAGCTTCAGCGATGCGTACGGCCTACGCATCCACCGGATGACGCACACGGACGAGCGGCCGCACGTGTGTGAGGTGTGCGGCAAGGGCTTCCGGCAGCTGAACAAGCTGCGCATCCATTCCGTCACGCACACGGACAAGCGGCCGTACGAGTGCGATATTTGCGGCAAGGGATTTCGCTTCGCCAACTATTTGGCAGTGCACCGGCGACTGCACACGGGCGAAAAGCCCTACGGCTGCAGCGAGCCCAGCTGCGGCATGTCCTTTCACTCCATACATGCCCGACGCATGCACATGAAGCTGCACCATGCCAGCGGCAAGACTCTGGAGACAGATAATCAGAACGAGCACAATGATCAAGTTGATTCGACAGCATCGCTTAGCTTCACCTGCCCCATTTGCGCACGCGTCCTAACGGACCAATGCTATTTGAATACGCACTTGAAGCGCCACTACAACCAGCGCGATTTCGCCTGCCTGCATCCGGGCTGTGGCAAGCGCTTCTTTAGCTCCTCGGAGCTAAACCATCACCAGATTGCGCACACGCGGCTGCGTCCATTTCGATGCTCGCTGTGCGGCTCGTGCTTTCTGCGCAAATCGAATTACAAGCAACATTTGAAGATTCACTGCGATTGAATATGTTTTAAAATATATGTAAGGTTTATTTAAATATACGATTTATACATAGAATTGTTTTTGTTTGAATGGTTTCGTTTTGTTTGCATTTGTTCTGTTTTAAATATATGTATGTATGTATTTATCTTCTTGCAAGTATGTATATTATATGTATGTATATATATTTGTTTGTTTTTAATATGTATTGGTAATTGGTTGCTCGCCCTTTTGCTTTTGCGCATATTGATTACTCAGTTTCTCAGTTTCTCAGTTTTTCAGTTACAGTTTCAGCGTCAGTTGACTTATTTTTTGTGTTCTATTACTTCTCATATGTTTTTTGTCTTAGTTGATCTTAAAAATAACATTTGTTTTAGCAAAAATACGCACATACATCTATGTACACACATATGTATGTATGTATGTATGTATGTATAAGCATGTTTGCATGCATCAATTTATGTATGTAGCGACCACACTGACACTAACACCGCTCGCTCGTCCTCTTCAAACTCTTTCACAGTTGTCAGAGCCCAGCTTAGGCCAAACAAAGAAAAAAAACAAAAAACAAAACAAATTGTAATGTAACCAGCCTACAGCAACAACAAAATGCAGCATTAATTCGAAAATGATTTTTGCATAATTTGCATTTCTGTACTGCAGCCAACATGGCCACATTGACACAATTGTGATTTGCGATTGCATTTGAAATGAAAATGAAACAGAAACAGAAACAAAATCGAAATTTAAAATGTAACTTAAATACAAATTTAGTGTTCTATGACATTTGCAACATGAATACAAAGCAAGTAGTTTAACTTCATATTCCAAGCATACATACAGAGACAAAATCCAGTTTACAGATACATTTCAACTTTTTTTACAATTGCTTTTCGTATTAGAACTGAATATACATACATATGTATTTATGAATTAAAGTTTTTTCTTTTCTTTTTCTGGCTATGCACACATTTTACTGAAGTTTTTTTCTTGCTTGCTTATTTTTTTCACGACTAAAACGAAAAAAAACGCGTTTCTTGCGTTTTTGCTAAATTTGTGTTAATTGAAGAATTAAACATACACACATAAGTATGTATGTATGTATAAGCGAAAATCGATTCGTTAGAATAACATTCAATATGACATCTTTTAATTCTCTTTAAGATAGCTCATATATATAGTTCATATATATGTATATATTTATGTCTGTATGTGTGTGTAAGCTTTAAGCTTGAAAATCCCAGTTTCCGCTGTTTATTCACTTGCTTTGCCCAATCTTAGAAAAACGTTTCCCAAATCACCGTTTTGTTTTTCTTCTTTCAAAAAGAATTTTGAATCTCTCGCTTTGTCGGCGATGCACGTTTACCAACTGTTAAACAGGATCATATAATTTTTGTGTTTTCTTTTAGTTTTTATCTTCACCGCCTTTTTCACTATGTCTAGAAACTGTGTATAAAAGTGATTTCTCGTTTAAAACTTTGAGTCGCACATTCCTATCGAAAAATGTTGCTGACACGTCTCATCGTCTCTTCTCATCTCATCCCACTCTGCCTATTCCTACACACTAAAACACTAAGCTCGTAACCAAAAAAAAAAAAAAAAAAAAAAATGATAAAAAAAAAAAAAAATAACAAAAAAAAAAAAAAAAAAAAATACATGATCTCGATTGTTGTATATGTAGATAGAATATAAAAGTTCTCTTTTAACTGCATGAGCTTCACGTTGTATATTGTAAATGTGGGTTTGTACTCTGTTCCCAAAGAGGAAAACTTTCGAATATTGGCGCCTGTCGCCGCTACTGCTTCTATATGTTCAGTTAAGGTACAAGTATTACAATTTTCAATTCTGAAGAGAAAATAACATGGACTTTCGGTGCAGCTACATGCTAAATATAGAAATCGGTATCGATTTAGATTTGGCAACGTCCATCCAGATGCCGGGAACAGAGTATCTGGCAGTCGGTAGCTACCGACTTCTTATTTACTTTTTGTGTCTCTTTTACAATCAATTATCGTTCTCACTTCTTGTGTTAAAATTGCTCTGTTTTTTAAGATAT